GAGTGAATGCGAGGTATACTTGTAATTTTAGAAAGGCCTAATATTATGAGATTAACCGAGAAAAACAAGAAAAACAATATCGAAAATGAGCATGAGCATTACTGGGCTAAAATGAATCATAACGGTGACTGTTCTTTTAAAATTCGTTTCAGTTTTTATAATAAAAGTTTGAAGCAAACACTTTTCATAGTTTTCGAGAAATGAACTTTCCAAAAAAAGTAATCTTTGGGGAAAATATCTTTAGTCGAAAAGGGAGAATTACATTACAAAAATAGTTACAAACTTATCTACACTTTTAACAAAGTGTCAGATATTAATAGTAAGCATGCATACAAAGTTCGAAGTGAATAGCTTTGATCCCAATTACTTTTTATTGTAACTGGATTGTGTTTACAGATACCAGTTCACAATCGTAACAGATGATTTTTATCACAAACGTTTGCGCTCGCAAACAATGATCAGAACATAAAAGATTGTTGCTGCTGTTGTTGCTTACGTTTCGTCTTCCCGCAAATTAAACAAGATGTGATCTTTTCCAAATACCCTGTAACTGGGTCGGATGTAGTGTAATGGTAAAATAGATAAATACAGAATCCCCAAAGAAAGCCCAACACGGCAAAATTGAAAATGTTGCAGGCTCGGTTTGATTGAGCCTGTTCATGGACGGTACTGGAAACCCGCAGGTTGAAAATTGTTGCCAGGGTTATACATTCTAGTTGAGGGCATGTTATTTCAAAAATTATATAACCCCAGGTTTTGATGGGGTAGCTCAAGTGATAAAATATTGTGCATTCGGACAAACAGTGATTTTATCTGGCGATAAAGTCACTGCTTGGGATGTATTATTCCCATTCTAACACGACATCAACAAATGAAGCTGCCCTGTCTGATATTAAGCTAAATTGAGTGTGCCAAATTAGTTTCCATACTTATTTCATCCCGTCACAATTAATGGTAACGTCACATGTCTAAAAGAAGATTTATTTCATATTTATATACACTTTCGGTCCTTCTATGTTCAATAGTGAAAACTACAAATCGTGGTAGAATGTTAAACAATGCTAAGTGTATGTCGTAATTAAATTGAGTAAAGAGTCCATAAGTGTTCCATAGGTCGGAAGATATTCGACCAATTTAGTATGCTTTAAGAAGTAATTAATAAATTTACCATACGAAGGCTTTGTTTCAACAAGTAAAAATGCTCATTAATCGGTTGTTTTGATAAGCAGTTAGAAAAAAGAAACATTTTAGTTAAAGGATTTTGTAGTCTCCCAGTGTTTTGTTAAAGTGTATAATTTAAAAGCTATATACATGTATCTGCTGCAAAAAGTCTGAACTTTGTAAAATGATAAATCCAATATACCTGATATCATTATGAATTATATAAAAGAAATATGTTTGTATATTTTCTTAAGAGCAAATTAACTGCTGTTCACAATTAAAAAAAAAAATCGTCACACCGAGAAAGTTATATCTGCGGTCGCGCGTTATTTTTTTAATATATACAATGTACATATAGAGATACTTTTGTAGTCTGATTTTATTGACCTGTCAATTATGAATACATTATAGCACAAATTTAAATATTCGATTCCAATTCGGTTTTCTCCTTATCGTTTACAAGAATTAACATCGATTATATATCTTATGTTTTGAAGGTCACACCAGCTAATGGCAAACATTGTCGTTTCATCCGCAATGGCACTGTCCATCACGTGATTGCCTAATACGCGAGAGGTCTGTGGTTCGATCCCTAATTTAGCCATTGCTTTAGACCTACTTTTTCATTTTTGCAGTGTATTGTAATGGAAATGGCCGAAAGCTTGCATAATTGTCTACACATATATGAAGGAACTGAGAAACACTGTTTTGTGTTGATTTGTATTGTGCTTTATGGCATTAAAATGGCATTAACTGATTTTAATCCGAATGAATTTTAAATATTAATTCATAAACCATGTTCTTTAAAGAATATATAATGTACCATTTAAAGCGCAAAATATATTAAAACAAAACGAACAAATAAAAAAATAATCATAGATTCAATAATGTTGAAAATATAAATAAAAGAAAACATAGACCTACGAGGTATCGATCTTACAACACGTATGACACTTAGAAAGTATAACACCCGTGATTTACCCTATTGTGCTATAACGCTTAGTACAATTGCTTCGCAGATACAAATTAAATTAGATCACATCTTACTGAGTACATCTCACGGAACTTCTCGAACATCTATCGAAGATTAATATATTGTGTGCATTAACCGTGACATCAGTATGCAATGGCATGTTTATAAAACCAAACAATAAATATCTGAAAAAAATGTGATCCCTCAGAAGCATTAAAGTCAGAAAAAAAAGAAACTTGCAGGCTCGGAGCGACACTCAATTTTCAAGACTGTAATACTGTTGTTTTCATCGCTTCCGAGAGATCACTTCTTTTTCCAGATTTTGTTTTAAAATTAAAACCTCGTTATTGAGTCCTATGATTAGTGAGCGTTTTAATATTATATACTTCATAAAACTGATATTATATTTACTTTTTACCATGTACTTAAAAATAATGACAAAATTTTTGTTTGGATCTCACCTCGTATACGCAGATTAACGTTGCACGTGCGTTGATTGACAGAGTATTGTGAATTAAAATAATAGAGTGATAGACAGTAAGTAAGAGGTCATTTTGAGTAATAGATTTAATACAACCACATTGAAAATTACTTTTACTTTTGGACAGCAGCAGTGAATTGTCAAAATTGAATTAGCTATATTTTCGGTACGGTTTTCTTTGGTAATTACTTGCGATAGATCTTGGTCAGGTTCGCCCAAATCGGCATCAGCACAGAAGATCTATAAAAGAACTGTGTTTTAAATATATGTAAAAAGTTAAGTAAGTGCAAGCCGTTTTACTAGTAGTCATGTTGATCCAGTACTAGTTAAAACTAGGACACGTCAATTCAGGACAATGCCCAGTAGACAACGTACGTTATTGTATGACGACTTTCATCGACACAGGATCATTTAACGTAGTATCAGTCATCGCAGTATCAGCCCTATGCAACTTCACGACTAAAATGACAAAACAAAGCAGGATCATAATTAGGACGATGGAGGACAAACTAGCGATCACGCAAGACCGTGTAATATTTCTCAGTTTTGACATATTATAAAACAGCTACGACAAATCTTTGATCCAAAGTGAACGCCAACGCAGGACTCTCAGGGTTTGAGTCAAACCTACTTTAACTGCGATGTCACTACGGTTTTAGCTGATAACATGTACATGGATTATATTTGTTCTGCCAAACTGTATGTTCATTTCAAATATGCTATATTTATATTACATTACAATCGGTCAAGAACATGTTTTTAGGCAATAGTTTCGAAAGAGTTAAGGATTGTTTTTTAACAGTTTACCATAATTTTCACTAAGTTGTCACTTAGAATATTAGAATATTTATATCTTCAGACTTACGCTAGGTAGGGTCGAATTGCCCAATACACAGAGTTTTTAGGCCTGACCAGGGCGTTACTTACATACCTAAAGAAAGAGATTGATACAATGAAATTCCTTGAACAATGTTTTTTTATTAATATAAGTTTGTATGGATTGGAGTCATTTGTAAAGTTTAAATATCAAAGTTTTATAAACGTTATCACTTGTTATAATAATAGTTTGATTCATTCAATATGACTTACTTATGCACTACATAATATGTTATAATTTGTTCACCCTTTTACTAAATACATGGAATAATAAATATAACGTATGGTGCAAATAGTTTGCCTATGGGAACAATTATCGTGACTATGACTAGTTTTGTTTCTTGTCTCATTTTGATTTCTAGAGTAATCTAGACTGCTAAAGCTAAGGTCAAACAAGAAATAACGTCGATGAGCATTACTGCTTGATATATCTATCCCGGGAAAACTTTTTTTTATAAATATTCCAAAGTATTCCGTCTCATGAAAAAAGGATTTATGGTCCTTTTTTGTACTTCACAACAAAATACTTCATCAAATCTCAACTTGATATAAAAATTACTAGATGTATAAAGTTCGTTCTCTTATAACACAATAAAAATTGCAAACTATTGTTTTGACTTGAGTCATAAGGAAATAGAATTAATTAAGGAAAAAATGACTTTCAAAGATATAGGCCTTTAGCAGTCATATTTTGATAGTAAACAGGTATTCAAAGTTTAAAATGAATATGAGTGTTAGTTTTTGAGAAATATATTATGAGAAATGGTAATAAGTTAACCGAGAAATACAAGAAAAACAATATCGAAAATGAGCATGAGCATAACTAAGGTAAATGAATCATAAAGGTAACTGTTCTTTTAAAATTCGTTTCAGTTTTTATAATGTAAGTTTGAAGCAAACACTTTTCATAGTTTTCGAGAAATGAATTTTCCAAAAAAAGGTTAACTTTGGGGGAAATATCTTTAGTCGAAAATGGGGGATTACATTGCAAAAAATAGTTACAAAATTATCTACACTTTTAACAAAGTGTCACATATTGATAGTAAGCATACATACAAAGTTCGAAGTGAATAGCTTTGATCCCAATTAATTGTTATTGTAACTGGATTGTGTTTACAGATACCAGTTTACAATCGTAACGGATGATTTCTATCTCAAACGTGTGCGCTCGCAAACAATGATCAGAACATAAAAGATTGTTGCTGCTGAAAGAATAAAAAAGAAACCTACAAAAAAGATTTTGTCCAAAGCAACGCTAACATCTTTCCATGTCATTGTTTTGTCACTTTCATGTCTGCGAATTCCTCTGATTCCTTTTTCTGTGCCGTTTAGGTTAAATTGTTGTCTATCACTTAGAGGCTTTTGCTGTTTAGAGCTAGGTAAATATAAAATTATGTACCAGACCTATTTCTATCATAATGCATATTTTTCACGGTGACGTAAATTTTGAAAATACCTATTTTCAAGTTTGTATTTTCAACTTCATTTTTCTTACCGTCTTCCCGCAAATTAAAACAAGATGTTGATCTTTTTCCCAACACCCTGTAACTGGGTCGGATGTAGTGTAATGGTAAATACACAGGTTGAAAAATTGTTTGCCAGGGTTATACAAATGCTTGTTATTAACAAAGCAAGTAGATAGTAACTGAAGTAAGCCATTGGAAAAGACGTTTTAGGTAAATTATCACCAACGATTGTTACATATACGGCAGTTGCAAGTAAAACAGTTATACTGTACGATATCCTTTCACCACATTCAGCAGGAATGACAAAAACAACGTTGCTTAGATACGCCAAAAATATAATCGGAAGAATGACGTTTACGATGGCGTACCGTGGCTTTCTTTCTATAGTTATGTATACAGTTAGCTCTGAAAAGAACGTAAACAAAGACACATTGATATGTGAATCAACCAATTTCCAGCCCCCATTTTGTAAGAAAAATTCTTGACCTACTTTCGTGTTTTCCACATTTATAAGGACTTCGTCCGGTCTATGGCCGTGCGGTGTAAAACGTAATTGACAGGTATGAATATCAAAAGGGTAAAATGTTACGTCGACATCGCATGCGCTTGAAAATAACTTCCCTGGAGTATAGTAAGCATACCCGTTGGGTGAAAAGCGTATTTTCAGGTCGTCGGCTGCGATAGGTTCTATTCCACCGACACTGTTGGCTAAAGTAATTTCCGGTTTCCAGAAAGGACCAGACGCCGTAAGAAGAGAGTCTAACCCCCCGTATTCAGCCGGATTCCATTTCATTTCTTCATCTATCCAAATAATCGAAGCAACACCAATAAACGAAAATTTCTGTTTTACCTCATCAAACTCTTGAATGTAAATGATATCTAAAGTATAGTTCACTACTGTCGGTTTTGATTGGTCGAATGTTGGTCTCGTATTTTTATTATAGTCTGCAAGTTTTTCTCTTAGCAGCCTGTTTGTATCTCTTATTGTGTGACACTCAATGCAGCACATAAGAATTGACGTCAGACATGACGTCACTACCAAGATCAGCATCTCTGTATGAAGATAATTAAGATACTTTTCACCTTCTTAAATAATTGAATTTTGTAACTTTTTGACTCAGTTGATACTAGTTATGTTTCCAGAGTAACTGCACAACTGGAAATTATTACATAAATATTAAGGTTACATAAACTGAAAACAAGCTTCAAAACACAACATATACTTTCTTAAAGTGGTAGAAATGTGGATATAACTTTCGAAACAGATGAAATAATATCTTAATAATATACCTAAATGTCATTTGTCAGTATTTGAAAACTTGGATTACATCTCGTCATTTTATGGACCAAAAGCGGTGCCATTTTAAAAGCTAACTGGTAATACTTTAATGTCGGAAAACTATTATTCGTGAAATATTATAACCCTTTTTTTTAAAACAAGAAATCTTTAAATCTTTTTTTCCGTTTTTTTTTGGGGACATATTCGGGTAAAGTTTTAAAAAAGATTAATAAAAAGTTTATTTTTGAAAAAGAAAGAATTTTTCGTGTAATTTGATTTTTTAATTTTTTATTATAAAATTACAAAAGCAAGTAAATAAAGAATTGGGTATCACCCTAGTTTGTATACGGTTTTTCTCGATTTATCAAAACAGGGAATTTAATATACATATATAAAATACTTATATACTATTTGGGGTTATAAAAAATCAAAAACATGAAAGTCTTGTTACATTACGAATTTTTCAAAAACCCTCATACAGTATTTTCCCAAAAAAAATACAACAAAAAAAAGCAAAAACCCACCATGACAATGGATACCTATTTTGTTTTTAATTTGTCCAGCTATTAGCCTTCTTCAAATTTTTACAAAGTAGAGTTCATAAACTTGTGAAATTACGAAACACTTTAGTAGATAATGTACGCTTTTAAGGATACATTTAGTTCATTAATCGATTTACTTTACTCGTGACACTGACAATGAAAATAATTTTAAATTTTTTAATGTACCGGAAAACATCTGTATATCTTGATTGCGCTGTTTCAGACTTTATTGTTTACCAATTTGTACAAATTGCATTCTATTTGAAAAATATGGTACTGTGAAATAAACATATAATAATGTTTGTAATGTTTTAATGTAAGTCCGGTTTAAAAAGTCATACTTTCATATACCATTCCTATCCTTGAAAATGAAATCATCATACAAAGTCTTAGCTCATGTTACAACAGATTTGCTGTCTTTTTTTGAGAATTACACCATTCGTCATCAGGTATATTTCATAATTTTTTTTGTATTAAACAAATCTTTTTTCTGTTGAAAAAACAATTTTATTTTTACAATTATTGTATTTAAGACGTTTGCTTAGGTTACAAAGAGACATAGACATGTAGAATATTGAAAAAATACATAACATAAATTTATTTCTCAGAGTATGATTACAGAAAAATTGTATGAACATTTTCAATCTTCCGTACGTCGATATGTTATATACTTGACCATCTCCCTGTTCTAGTTTGTAGACAAATATACAAACTGGCCATTATCGAATTATATCTGCGAGATTTTCAATGGGATATGAAATGATTTTTGCTGACAAAAACTCCATTACAAATAGGAGATACAAGCAAACTTATCCTTGACTAACATTAGAACATTGGAGAAGTTATACAAATGGTAAAGAACGTCAATAATCATATTTTATAAAAGATTCATAAAGATGATTATACAGATATTAAGAAAACAATGATTCGTCACTTCGTGGGAATTTATCTGAACTTTAATCATCTTTAGTTTATATTTATTCAAATCATGAGCAACCGAACTATTGACAACTAAAAATACGTGTTTTTGATCATACATCATGAGAAATGAAGCTTTACCAATTGTCAGTTGTAACAATGTTCATGTATATATCATTTTATTTATTTTTAACTCACTTTGTAATGATAAGAAAAGTACAAATCTCTATACGGTTATTGTCCTTTTAATAATTGTTGCCATTGGTCTGTAATAACACACCTTTGCCGATTTTACGACGCCGTAAAATGGTATTGCACGACTGTGAATGTATTTTGACATACCGTCCTTTAAGTTATACAAACATAAGGTAAAGACCCGCTACATGTTAACGTTACACTATAGGCTCGTCTATGAAAGATGATCTTTTTTTCACTTCAGATTTATCATACATGACAGAAAATGGTACGGAGCTAACTTTCATAACTTCAGTATCAAAATAAAAATTGCGATTTAAGTTAACATTATAAAATTTAGCAGTTCCTTTCTTATCCGAATTAAAGAATAATAATAGTTTCTGTTAAACAAGAATTGAAATATCGGCGTAGTAATCAAGATAATGTAATCCGCGGCATTTTAATTATGATTTACACAGATTACATGCGCAGTTAGTGTGTGTGTGTGCGTGCGTGCGTGCGTGCGTGTGTGTGCACACACGTAGTAAGTGTATAATGTTTTATTGTAATACATTATCTAATTAGCCTTTAATCATATGTTTTGTATTATAATATTTTATTTTATGATATTTTATATTATATAATTTTCATACTTATATTTGTTTTATTTAGTATATTCATGATGGAATATTATCATGCTTTTCTATAAGATATTCACAATGTTTAACGGAGAGACCTATGGAAAATGATAATACTATGATATAACAATTCGTAAAAATGGCCTACTTAAGATTCTATAGATTTATAAAGAGAGAAATAAATTGTTTGAATATGTTTGCATTTCATTTCCTGCAAAGTTCTTCAGTTCGTTTTTATTACCATAGCGCGACACGGATGACCGTTCCGTTAAACTAAAACTTCTTCTATAAATTTTCGGACTTTCACAATGTTAAGGTCATCATTCAATTTATAGGTACAGCAGTAACATACATAATAACCCACATGATTAAAAAAACAATTAGCGTGATAAATTGACGGATAAGTTAATTTCATTTGAATATATTTGCATTGCAAAATGCTCCAGTTCGCTATTCATTGTACATATCGCGACATTTCATTTTTGATAATCAAACACCCACATATCAATCGGAATGATCGGCTTTTACGACAGACGAAAAGGCCCGGAAAGTTGCAATTGCCCTTTCACAAAATCTATTTTTATTCCATAAAGGGCGTCGCCCTTAACAAAATATGTAATTGTCCTCTAGTGTATCGTTCATATACTCTATAAAATGTTCATTAATCTTTAAATAGGTTTCGTCATAGGTTGTCTATTTTTAGTTTGACTTTCTGTAAATTTCAAAGGGGGGAAAAGTACTGACGTAGGATATTCATTGGTCATTTTGTAATACATTTTTGTATTTAACTTAATCTTGGGACTCTCATTGACCACTTTAAAATTAGTCAAACTTAATACATGTGTTTTCTGAACGCAAATCCTATAATAATGTATTAAGAGGTTTAGGAATCAAACATTCTAGTTTCATCCCGTCGCAATTTAATGGTAACGTCAAATGTCTGAAAGAAAATTTATTTCATATTTATCTTCTATGTTCAATAGGGAAAATACATATCGTGGTAGAATGTTAACAATGCTAAGTGTATGTCGTAATTAAATTGAGTAAGGGCTCCATAAGTGTTCCTTAGGTCGGAATATATTCGACCTATTTAGTATGCTTTAATAAGTATTTAATAACTTTACCATACGAAGGCTTTGTTTCAACAAGTAAAAATGCTCATTAATCGTTGTTTTTATAAGTAGAAAAAAGAAACATTTTCGTTAAAAGATTTTTTTAGTCTCCCAGTGTTTTTGTTAAAGTGTATAATTTAAAAGCTACATACATGTATCTGCAAAAACGTCTGAACTTTGTAAAATGATAAATCCAATATGCCTGATCTCATTATGAATTATATAAAAGAAATATGCTTGTATATTTTCTTAAGAGAAAATAAATCGCCACGTCGAGGAAGTTATATCTGCTTTCGCGCGTTATTTTTTTTAATATATACAATATACATATAGATATACTCTAGTAGTCTGATTTTATTGACCTGTCAATTATGAATACATTATAGCACTCATTTAAATACCAGGAAATACCTTTCACAATGTTTTTTTTATTTATATAAGGTTGTGTAGATTGGAGTCATTTGTAAAGATTAAATATCAAAGTTTCATAAACGTTTTCACATGTTATAATAATACTACATAATATTTTATAATTTGTTAACCCTTTTTCTAAATACATGGAATAATACATATAACCTATGGGAACAATTATCGTGACGATGACCAGTTTTGTTTATTGTCTCATTTCGATTTCTAAAGGGTCCGTCACACGATAATGTTCTGGTCAACGCTCTCTGAACGTTTCAATCGTTCAATTTTTTAACGGTTTTCAAATGAGGTTGACACATATAGCGTGTGATTAACGTGCGTCTAGCGCATAACTAGCGTGTGTCTAACGCACGGGAAACGGGTAACAGCGACCATCTTAAATACGTCGGAAACACATAAGCGTTTGCTAACGTGCAATTGGCGCGGGGCGTACTATACTGATTCAAAAAAGAAACTTTCTCCAAGTTTGAATGTAGATATGATAGTACAGTTTTTCAATCCTTTTGAAACTCGATTTTGAAGTTGAATAAACAGATCGGGCTTTTATACGTGGATTAGCTGACTGATTTTGCAAACAAAACGAGTTTTACAAGCTACTACATCTATATAAGTGTGTACATCTAAGTGGTACCCTTGAACAACTGGCACATACTTTGCGAAAGTTTCTTTTTTGGTTCAGTATATTTGTCAACGCCTGACGAGCGTTTTGAGCGTCGACAGAAAAGCGTCTTGATGGCGTGTTATTTTTACGGCTTAAACGGCACAGAACGCTGGAAATTTCTTAGTGAATTTAGCTCTTGTGAGTTTAAATAGTCAGCATCATGACGCCAAGAAAAGAAGATTGGGGCGAGGGCTCCTACTAGCTACATTTTTATTTCCAAAAATCCTTGACGTCTTAATATTCACGATTTAGTCTAACACGGTCGTCTTCGTCTGGGTCTTCTCTATGGATGAGTGTC